CGGATTACGTTGTTAAACCTAGAACCTTTAAAGCATATGCTGATAGAAGCAGAAAACTAAATATGTAAAGTAAGTATGATGTCAGAAAATATTCTCACAAAATTAAATAAATACAAGTATCAAAACAATTGATAAATCATAATCTATATAGCCTATACTGACGTTTAAGATTGTTTATATTACGAACATATTTCACTGATGTAATGGGAGGAAACATTCGCTTTCAACATACTTTAGAAAGAGATGATTTATTTAATATTTAATTTAAATTTAGATTTTCAAGCTGTATTTATGACCTGTCTACACGCAATCTGTATGTAAATAAATAAGTTCAAACAGAAACAAAAATAAGATTAAGATTTATACTTTTAAGCTGGTAAATAGTTTCAGCAACTATGTAATAAATTTACAAGTAAAGACAAAAAAAATAGTTACTTAATGGATTTGTAAATTTAGTCTACATTTTTGCATGTCTTTTCGGATTCTTTATCCTCAGTTGACTTATTTCCTGATGTTTATGATAATGATTTAATGAACATTTGTGATATGAAGAGAATGCCTTGGGGAGTGTTTGTGTCTTTGAAAAAGAGGTCTTGTTAAGTTGGTTGTATAATCATAAGAATAATTTTTCAATTTCAAGTTTAATAGCGTGGCATATTTACAATGTTTACAGCAAACAAAATAGATGCATCAAATGAACAAGACAAGAAATTTACAAATAGAAAGAGCAAAGCAAATGATGGAGATTATGAGACTGCCGAATGATTAACATTCTATGGAACGATATTACACTGTATTACATAACAAAAATGCGAAACTAATTTGCAGACAAAACATAAATCTTACAATGCTGTATAAAACCATGTTGAATGTTGAAAACAAAATATGTTAAATTTTGTTGACCATCAATGGTTTAAACATATTTATTTAAGCTCGATTGCGAAACAAGTTCTTGCAACTTATATTAATCACTTTCGAGTCCGCTTCCTGGAACCAACCAGTACTGGTATCATATGGAGAAACATGGTCGTGACCCGAGTGAGCTCGAACCCATGATCTCTGGGTTGACCATCAATAAGAAAACACAGGGGTATTGGTAGCCATGCCATAGCAATTTTTAAACAAATGCATGTTAAAAAGGTTGTAACTATAATATTGCTTTATTTAATATTTATACATAAAAAAACACGTTTGTTTTCCGTGAATGTCAAGGTTACACGAATACCATAGAGACGGGGTAACATGATACGATTTATGAAACCAGAGAGAATTAATCAGACTGTATGCTTTTGCAAATTAAGAAAAAATGGCAAGACTTTTTTCAGATTGCTAGTTTGGATCAATATATTTTTAATTTTGCTTGGTGATGCATTTTCAGTTTCATCCATAACATATTATAAAAAGCTGTATATTTGGTTTTGCCAGTTTATTTTTTCGTTTTTATTATACGTTTTATTTTTTTCTTGCGTACGAGAGATCGTACGTCCATATCTTTCTTAATTTGTTCCTTTAAATTTGGTCAATCGTTTGTTTGTGTGTTCGTTCAATTTATGATCGCGTGTTCGTTCATCCGTTCGTCCGTTTGTTTGCTTATTTGTTCGGGTGCTTGTTTTTTCCTTCATTTGTTTTAATGATTGAATGATACAAACACCACCAACAACATCAACAAAACCCAACCAACCAACAAAACCATGAAACAAATTGTTATTCGACGTATTTTTATTCTACAGTACAGAGTATTCTGATAATAGTTTTTCAATTGCTTTTGCTTTAACTTACTCACATAGAAATAAAGTAAGGACAAAATCAAATATAGAATATTAATTTAAAAAATACGATTTTCATTCTTTACAGTCATTAAAAACATTAAATATCATACTGAAATTTCAGCAGATATTCTCTACCACGCCCTTTTTAAACCAGTTTTTGTTAACATTATGATTAAAAAAATGTCGTACAAGTATATTAAATAATTAAATAATCTATTTCATTAATTCATAAATTCTTATCTGCGACAGAAAAAAAGCAAATTTTACTCAGAAATTCTCATGAGTGTTGATTCATTAAATGATAAATCAATATTTATTTTTCCTGGTATATTATACAATTAGAAATATGTGGCAAAGTTGTTCCATAAATGTACCTTTAAGTTATTTAATCTTTTCTTCATTAAAGATTTTTCATATTTAAAACTGACAAATTATTACAAATCTATGGAATTCATTTGAATAAATGTACCATATATTTAATATTAATAATAATTTCATTTTCTTACCTTAAAAACACCAATTAAACAAAATATAGCCTTCATTGTCCTTGAACGAAAAACATACACGAAATACAGGTGCAAAACAATAAAATCGTAAACTTCTAACAGCATTGTTGTATGATTTAACAAAACAGAACTATTCTGTTTTGTTGTATTCTGTTGTATGATTAAAGCCATCACAAAAATATATATTAAACATTTATCAACAAATTAAAGAAAAAAACAACTCAGTATTTACTATTTTGTCGACTAATTAAATGCTCGTTTTTCTTAGGGACATTTACCCATTAAGGACTCGTTATTTTTTGTGTGTATATTTAAATATGACAAGCATTTTATTTTTCTAAACAGATTTTCAAGCTCTCAGAAAAGCGATGCGTTTCAAAAATGGTTCATCATTTAGTTTTAATACTTATACTTAAATGACATGATAAATACGATGTATTCAACAGCCAACAAATATTATTATATAGTGAACTACATGTATATAAATACTGTAATAATGTTTGTTTTCTCCGACCGACCAAATTTAGTGGTGTATTACCGCGAAGCAGATTTTACCACTACATATAATCATATTATAGAAGCTGACTTCTAAACGTTTCAGGACATTTTACTGGAGTTTTTATTAAAAACAAGCGACAACAATAACAACAACGACAGGAACAACATCAACATTGGATTGCTGTTTCCTGACTCATTGATCTTTAACTTAAATGCTATCAGGGTCTCGGTGTTATGTACAATATTTATTATATATGTATTTTTTTTATAATACTTTGGCCTCCTTCAGGCATGAGGTCAATTTTTCAATGTATAAGATTTTTTTAAAAGTAAGACAGCATCACTCAATAAGGAAGAGAAACACAGACCATATTGACACAACTGACAACTTTACAAATTTCACTTTTTTACGTTTCAATGTTCAATTCTGCCAAAACCGGTGGTAGGAGGCGTGGATGGTAGCTTAATAATATCTGTCATATTTTGCGGTTCGGATCGGAATATCCGTCCCGAGGTGATCCGCCCATTGGGCGGTAACGAGGCTTGCCGAGTTACCGCCCATGGGCGGGTGACCGAGGGACGGATATTCCGATCCTAACCGCAAACATATGTCAGATATTTTTTCTTGCATATTCTACCATATTCCATTATATTTTAAATTCTTTATCTTTATTTTCAATGAAAATTTATATCATTACAACCGTAACTACTTTCATTCAACAGCGTATGAATTACAAAATCATTCATAACGGTAAAATGACGTCATTTTTATCGTGCCATTGTACAGCACGCGACTCATCTGGAACCCCCATGCCAGATGAAATTTCCGGCATTGTTAAAACTAACGGAAACGCCAGTCTGATATGCAAGAATGCAATTTCAAGTACCGTCCATGAAAAGGCTCGATCAAATTGAGCCAGTAACATTTTCAATTTTGAAGTTTTCGGCGTTCTTTAGGGATTCTGTTTTTTTTTCCTCTATTTTATGTAAAAGTGACAACTTATTTAGATCACCAGTTGGAAAAAAACTCATTTTGTAATAACATTCATAAATTGAATAACACCAGATTGCTTTCTTCTATTATTATTCATCTATATTGAAAACTTTATATTGTTTGAGAGATTTATTAGCTCCATAGAAGTATATTGGATTTTTCTTATTGTTTGAAAACAATAGAAAAAAAATGATATTCATCGCCTAACGAGCCGGTATTACAAAGGTTGCAAGTTCTTTATTTTCATAGTCATTCTGAAGAAAGTCTCGGCTAAATATGAATCAAATATATGAAAATAAATGATAAAAAACAACAAAATAACAACTTTGAATATAAAAGTAATACAGATATGTTTATTTTGTTTTACGTCATATTGGTCTTATTTTTTTGTTGCACTTAATTCGTTTCTATTTTCTAATTCTCTTTTTCTTACGTTTCAACAGCAAAGATTTTGTATCGCAAAATAATAAACATTAAATTTCGCAGAGATATTTCTAATTTTATCCTAAGAAATTATGACCTGTAACGAACACCATACATCTTGCTCACTGTTACTAACGAGAAGACAATAATCAGCGTCTCTGGTTACAGAAGTCATTCCATTATTTCTCTCAGATCTGTAATATTCTGATAAATACCGGATGGGAGTACATGGAATAGATATAATGGTGTATTAAGTGTAGTGTATTAAACATTTTACTGGAAACGTTTTATATGGCAATTATTTGCTGCACGAGACGCTAATATGAATAGATATACATGTATTCACTTATCAAATCTGGTATGTTGTATTATATATTGTATTGCTGTTTTATAAAAGAAAATGTTATTCGCAAATGAATATTGTAGATAGACTTAAAGTCACAATATGCTCATATTTTCATTGTCAAGTTGAGCTGAATTGACTATATATTTCAAAGGATCGACTGTTGTTGTGGTGATTGACCAACAGTTGATACTGAAAAAGGTTTAGGATAAAATTATAAATCTGCCTAAAATATAAAAAAGACTGCCCAACTGTTTTACATAAATTGAATGTTACAGGTAAATTCGGATGGATATTTAAAGAAGTTTCCTTGGGTCACCTGACTTATTGATTGTTCATTCAAAGTAAATTATGAAATTGAATGGAAATATGGCAATATGTATATTTACTTTTACCTGTCCACTCAGAATATACACTTGGATGGGCATATTGTCACTTTAAATATATTTTTTTCTTTATATTTTCAGCAAGGGATGCAAAGGTATGCCATTTACAATGGGGAAGAAATCAACAAAGTCAAGAAGCAGTAGAGGCAGCTCAAGACGGTCCGCAAAAGTGGCGCCAATAGCCATGCCTCTACAACCAATCAAATGCTGCCAAAGGATAGCGCCAAAAGAACGGTTGTTTCTTGAAGCAGCCGAACGTGGCGATAAGCACACCATGTTCCGATGTCTTCATCCTCCGTCACCAGTAAATGTCAATTGTACAAATATGTTAGGACGGTCAGCTATTCAAATCGCTGTTGACAACGAAAATGTTGAAATTGTTGAACTTTTGTTAAAACAAAATGGCGTCAAGATTGGGGATGCATTATTATACGCTATCCGCGAAGGAGTATTTAAAATTGTGGAAATGTTAATAGACCATCCCTCAATTACACCGGAAATGCTAGGTACCGAATGGTACAGGTCAAAGTATGTTGGAGAAATCGGTGATTCAGAAGAAAGTAATGATTACTCCCCGGACATTTCTCCCGTAATTTTAGCAGCTCATTGCAACCAGTTTGAAATCCTTCAGCTTTTGCTCATGAGGGGAGCGGTCATTGACCGGCCCCATCAATTGTCTTGCTCATGTCGAAAATGCCAGGAAAAAGTCACTGAAGATGGTCTGCGTCATTCCTTAAGACGAATCAACACCTTCCGTGCTCTCGCCAGTCCGGCTTGGATATCTTTAACGAGTTCTGATCCGATTCTTACGGCGTTTAAACTTTCATGGGAGCTTGAAAAATTAGCACTACGTGAGAATGAGTTTAAAGACGCGTATTTAGCTCTAAGCAATCAGTGTAAGAAATGTGCCTGTGATTTGTTGGACCAATGTAGAAGCAGTGAAGAAGTCATTGCGGTGCTTAACAAAGGAAATGATAGCGATTCTGATAGTGATGAATGTGACACTAATGCGGACGGTACCATGGCGCTTTCCAGGCTTAAACTGGCCATTAAATATGAACAAAAACAGGTATGCGATTTTAAAGTATTTTTCATTCATGATCAAAATGGGCTTGCGATTTTGTTGTAGAATCAATAAACTACAAAAATGTAGTCTGTGTTGATGCCATCGACAGTTTTTACTTTCTGCCATCTCAAATGCAAGCTAGATTAGCTTGTTATTGAAATTTTGGCTTAAAACCAACAGTGGTGAGGGGCAAGTGGTTTGAAGTCAACGACCCTAACCATTTGTCCGCAGATGTGTAAAAATTGTTCGTACGTAGAATGCAATTATGTTGAATAAATATGTTTTAACAATGATCACCAACTGACACTGCATTTTTTTTGCTGTTATTCTTTGATTAGAAATACTTTATACTAATAACTGTTCTTTAATAATTTTTTTCTTAGGGCCCATTGTCACTTTTTTAAAATGTTCTTTTATTGTTACAAATGTGCCAGAACATTTATTGCCCATTAACGATATTCAACGCCGTCAGAACACGTTGCGTGCACGTCCTTGCGTCGATGCAACTGGTAGATAAAATTGTGTACTATGAAATACATGGTACGATAAGATAAATGAATGAATTGAATCATGAAAATTGATTGGACAATAAAACGTAGATTATCTGATACAAACTGTTGAAATCAATTCCATCTCTGATATATCTTCTATCAAATAATAAATGATGTAATGTTAACATAGTTGTTGCTTGATTCTAACTCAAAAATACTTAAAAGAATATCAAAGATTTAATAAGTTAAAGTTCTGACGTCATTTTAGTGGTTATACGTCCTTATTTTGTATCAGTTTGGAGACCTTTCTTGATGTGTTAGAGTTAAAACGAACACCACCAATACATGCACAGTGCATTAACTGTGGTGCTGGTGTAAGTTACCCGGACTCAAGGTTCTGCATAAAAATAGAGCATGCTCATTGATTGGCAGCATGTATTCTTGGGTTAATGTTTTGTGACGACAGGGAAAGTAATGACGATAAAAATGCCATACTCAGACGATCATACATTGGTTACTTTTCTATTTCTAGGATTTCATATTGTTTCGACAAGGAACGTGTTTTTAATTAAGTCTATGAAACAACAGAGAAAGAACATCAAAACACTCGGCAATCTGATTTATATCCGGATGGACAAATCAGATAGCTTCCTGTTTCGATGATTTTTTGTATTACGTCTTCTATCCTTCTATCAAATCATGTATGCTTTAACTATTGAAATATATTAATTTGCACCGATCCTTTTCGTTATTATATAGCTTAATGGGGGAAATAAACGGTTTAACCATTCTTTAAGCACAAGCAAATCACGAAGTTTAGTGTCTTTTTAATACGATATCTTTTTCTTCAGTAACAGATACGTAAACATCGTGACAACTATAATACGATCATGGCTAGAGTTTATGTTTAATATCTATTTATAATTGGATATTAATGAAAACAAAGTTTTGTTATAAGCTAGAATATCATTTTTCCCCCTCCTCATTAAAGGGTAAGACGCGACTTATAGCTGTCTCAAATTTCCAGAAGATTCATTTGAAATGCGAATGAGCTCGTTAAGTTGTATAAAAACCCTGATAATTTACTTTTATTAAGATCTTAAAAATGTATTTTGCTACACAACATAACAGATAATGAGGAGAATGTATGTACTTTTTTCATGAAAAAAAAATAAAAGAAAGGTCATAAGGTTATTAATAGATAGTGTATCCCTTAAAAATGAATTAAATTTGACGCAATTTGCATTTTTTTCGCAAACACATTGTAAATATATTATTACGTTAATTGCTTCCTCCGTTCGTTTTGATACAGTTTTGTTTTTATAGCTTTACATAAAAATTTACGATATGTATTTTTGAGTTCTTTTCAATCAATTTTCCATGAAATCTCTTGATCATTACATGTTAATTTATATTTACACAGTTCCTATATACAAATTTAATTTTGTGAGCCGTTTTTTTCCTTAATGTATAATGTTATAAAAACAGCATGCAATCCTTCGTTCATGAAATAATACAAGAACCACCAAGTCCCACCAAGGTCTTTCTGAACCATTTAAGCTGGAAAGTCGTTATATGACCTTGTGTCGGTGTGATTAAATATCCACCACTACCATCGACAAGTACACGTATTGTTATTGGATTTGGTTAATGAAAATATTATCGCAACGCAAAACGAACCCTTGAGAATTTTCAGCGATAAGCTATTTTGATAAGCCTGGATTGTTTGTATAAATCAGCATTTTTGATAAGCTTGTGTTAATGTAAATATAAAAAACATATGCTTAGTAGCATATTATGTTTTGTTGTAATGACATTTAAATGGCACAGGATTGTTGTCAATATTTAAGGGAAATTATTGTCGAGAATAATTAGATCTTCGTGTATAATAAAGCAGAGAGTTTATCCGTTTTTAAACAGTGAAAATGCGCAGTCATTATGACAGTGCAAACAACATGCAGATTGCGCAAAAAACATAATTTGCACGATATTCTATGGAAGCGCGTGTGGGCCATAGCACGGCAAAAATGCATCGTGTAATCGCGCCACACTAAACATATTAATTATAGTCAAATAATATCAAATAAGTACCTAAGTAATATTTGATTCATTCAGTCGTTAGCATCCTCTTACCATTTTTTCATATTAACTCTTTTTAAGTAAATAAGACTGTAATAAAAGGTCCACAGTAATACAATAAATAATTATGTTAATAATAATTAGTTTCAGACATATTTAGTAACAAGCCACGATAAAAAGCTATATAATTATATGATAGTTGTTAGCAAATATGACAAGCATGATTCGATATTACATTTACAAGTATTAAATAGCAGATAATAATTTTTTTTCTAGAACAAAATATTATTATTCATCATATAAACATTCGTACTAAACTCACAATTGTTTTCAAGCAAATTTTCATCAGAATCCCCAAATGAAAGACTTCTATTGTTTGTATCAACATTTTAAATACTTTTGAAAAATGCTCCCATTGTAGACCAATACATTTTAATTGAATAAGTAACAATTTTTGCAAGAAAAAAAATTACAAGGCAAACCAGTTGTATAAGCTAAAACATTATTTTTAACTGAAAGAAGATAAGGAAAATATAACACCTTTTTCTACGTTTTCTTCTCTCCTTAAGGTTTTTTTTCTATTTTGTTTGATCTCGTGAAAAGCGGCGGTAATTTGTACTTTATAATATTGTACATTTGTAACAATGCTTTTCATTGGATAATCGTGACGTTAATATAATCACTCTAGATGTAAAGCTATGGAACAATTTTCGTTTTTTCCTCAATCAAAGAAATCATGTTGTATTGCATTTTCGTTATAAAGAATATGGCCGTATATGAAAGGTGTTTTTGCAATATAAACCTCGCCTCGCGACTTAGGTTGCCTAAGCTAACAACCGTTCATATATAAAACCATGTAACTTGTTAAAATCTTTATAACTAATAATATTACATGGTGAGTCACGTTATTATTTAAGAACAACTGTACATTTAACGGACAATGCGCATGCTCAAAAAGACTTCCGTTGAGTTCATGTCGTATAATGTACATATACATGTAGTTTTAAATTCTAAACCATTTGATCTCTATTGCAGTTTGTTGCCCATCCAAGTTGCCAGCAGTTGCTTACCAGTATTTGGTACGAGGGTCTCCCAGGGTGGAGGAAGCGAAACACCATATCGAAATTCACAATTTGCCTCGGACTATGCCTAATTATGCCATTTATGGCCATCTATTATTGGACTTTCCCACTCAGTAAAATAGGAAAGCTTTTACGAACACCGTTTATGAAGTTTTTATACCACAGTGCATCCTTCGTGACGTTTCTGGTATTATTAATGTGGGCGTCTACAGAGATCTCGAGTCTGAAAGACAGGGAAAACCTACGAGGTCCACCGCCAACCACACTAGAGTGGCTTGTGTGTATTTGGGTAACAGGTCCGTTCATTGTTTACGTAGAATTTTTATATTTCTAGTATTTTTAGTTAGAGCATCCGTGGTTGATGACTTCAGACCACTTGTCCCGTTATATAGCAAGTAAAAAAAGACATGCCCATTATAGACCAACCCATTTTAAACAGTAATAAAAACTTTAAAAATTATAATTGTCTTAGTTTCTCTAAGATATTGTTTAAGTATCTAATCATCACATTGTGTATGTATTAGCTTCGATGAATGCATAACAAATCAAATATACAAATAATCTTTAAAAGACAATAGCTAAACATTCCCCTAGGTCAATCCACGAATTTAAGATCCAACGCAATCTTATTTCGTCTACTGTACAATTATTCATTATGTTATTTGCATTTATGTTTTTCACACAAGCAGACAATCCACGAATCTAAGAATACACAAAAAAATAGTTTTTTTTTCTTGGACAAAAACCACGAGATTTCATGCCCATGAATTTAAGTGAGTTCACGGCATATATTTCTATCAGCAACAGAGACAGGTTTTATCTATTGATTTTGAAAACGTAATAAGACTACGTGACTGTTGGCTGAAGGATGGCATTTAATCAAAAGGAAATTTTCAAGTAAAAAAAATAGAAACACGAGATTCGCGTGACATTAAATTCTGTAATGTAGATGTCTGTTAGAATAACATAACCATAAAAATATAATTCTGCTTAGTTCTTTGCCATGGTTACTAGACATGATGTAATTGTGCTGCGCCATCTACTTTTAATTGCGTATGAAAATATGAATACAAAAATAATAAGCATTATGTAAAAGGAACTATTTTTATAGGTGGCATAGCTTGAATATCTTAATTAAAATTCAACTGACAATAACACGGCTTTAACGTTCCATTATGCTCCAGAAACGCTTTTTATTTTTATTTCTCAAACATTTTTTTGTTGTGTTTTTTAAACAAAACTATTTATCTGAACATTCTTTTGCCTCTTTTTATTTTTGGCAGTTTGTACAGTTATAATGGTTGAATTTGTTTGCAAGTCAAATGATACTTTGTTAACATTTTGCTACCTTTAATGGCAAATTATTTCATATCGCTACTTTCCTCCGGAAATTCGCACCTAACATGGTCTAAACTATTACGTTAAAATACTTATGTTCGCTCTTTCTAAAGAAGAAAATATCTATTCGTTTCCGAGGCATAATATGCCTTTAAAATTATAACCGATATAAAATTGATTAAAATAATTTCTGAAAAATAGCTTTCCCCCCAACGATTAAGATATGAGATGATTACGTTTACATGATTATTAGATTAAAAATTACATAATTACTAAAACATGGTTACAATTAATTACACAATCGATACGAAATAATTACGGTTACGTGATCATGATTTCACTGTTACAATTACGATTACAGTGTTATGATTACACGATTACTTTTCCAAGATTACGATTGCCTGATTACAATTGCACGATTACGGTTTTTATTTGACGATAGACAGAATGTATATAGAAAAGCTCATCACCTAACATTTTCTTCCTGATGGAATTTTATTATAGGAACTATTTTCAATGAAAGTTTATGTTTATTTGTATGTCACGTGCCGGAAGTAGTTTTCATATCTATGTTTATCATCTTTACAGGGTTTATTTGGTCAGAATGTAAACAGTTATGGGAGGAAGGTCTAAAAGCCTACATTCGTCAATGGTGGAACTGGATGGATTTTATCATGCTATCCCTCTATCTAACGACCTTCACCTTGCGCTTTGTCGCGTATTTCCAAATGGAGTCTGGGAAATATGGCCCGCGTTCCATGGAGCGCAAGAATTGGCCGCTTTACGATCCAACGATGGTGTCGGAGGGACTATTTGCAGTGGCTAACGTGTTTAGTTTTGCTAGAATTATATTTCTTTTCCAAGCTGATCAGTACTTGGGACCTCTTCAGATATCTTTGGGATGCATGTTGATAGATATTGCCAAATTTATGTTGATATTTTTTCTTGTGTTGACTTCGTTTGCCTGTGGGCTTAACCAACTCTACTGGTATTACACCCCGGATTCTGGGAACCCGCCTTCTTTTTATACGTAAGTATACATATAAAACTATTCCCAATAGAAATAATAAATTATATTATTTGTGAATCATGGTTATCTAAAAGGACAGAAAAATATAAATACAAGCGTGTGAGTGATAATTCAAAGTAGATTATAGGACAATTGAAGGAAATGAATACGTTCTTTGTTATTTTACAATTATCGCATTATTTCATTTTCACAAGATTCCGTCTTAAATACAATTTATAAGTTTCATTAATATGTTTGCTTCTTTCGAAATTTCTGATACAGACGGATCCTACTAAATATGGAGTTAACTTTAAATTCATATCCTTAATACGTAAAATGCTTAAGAAATAAAAAAAATGATCGTTTCCTTAAAATAAACGTATTATTGTACAAAACATAAACAACTACAACAACGACAAACACACACATAATAAACTGTACATTAATTTAACATTCTCAGTCTGTTAAAATTAAACCTTTATAAACTTTAAAAAAAAATCTCTAATTTAAAATAATTTATTGATTAATTAAACGTAAACAGATACATATTGCTAATGCCATGTTTGGCAGACGACATTGACCAAGTTTCCGCTCATGGCATGACGATAGCACTATTCGGTTAAAAATGTGAAACAAAGTAAAAACGCGTACCATTTTTCGAGCTGAAACGAACCTGTTAGATCTAAAATGAATATAATTACTTAATCTGAACTTCTGTAATATTTTGTATTTATCTAATTATTTATTTATTTATTTTTGCAAATTTTATATATTTTCTAGTCTAGAGAACAGTTACCGGACATTATACTGGTCACTGTTTAGTCTGACCCAACTGAAGGACATTAAGATCAACAACAGTCAGTATTTTACAGAAACTGTAGGAGAACTACTTTTTATGGTGTATCACACAATGGCGGTTATTGTCCTCATCAACATGCTTATTGCAATGATGTCAAATTCATTCCAAGAAATTGAGGTAATAATTTACAATACTTTAATTAGAATTTAGATTTAATCTACGATTGTTTATGTTACAACTCGCACTTTTTTTCTTATATTTCAGAAGGGAATTATTTTTTTTCTGCGCGTGAATTTATACAAGAGATAGCTTTTTCGTAATTTTTCTAGCCTATTTGTTTTATTTACCTTAAGTCTGCTTCTACGAGAATTCATAGTCTGAACTATTAGCTTTTTAGTCAGAACTTATATGGTCAATTTTCTTAATATTTAAGAATAGCTTAGTCCAAAATGAAATACGTACCGGTACATTTACGATATTTAGCGTTGTAAGGACTGAATAAGAAAATACAAATGCATCTTGTATGCACAAGGTCAGAGGTATTGTTTGCTATAAGTATCGGCATAAATTTTTTTTCATGGTCGCTTTTTTTTCTTACTACGTCTTAATTACGTTATTAAAGAGTTATAATAAATTTGAATTTAAAATTATCATTGTCATATTTTGATTTCAGGTTAATTTTGTGTATAAATATAATTTTGTTTGATGCATCTTAATAGAGATTTGTTTCTAAACCACAATTTTTGCCACAAACCAACTACAACCACCCCCGTCCCCATTTAACTGTAAAATCTTTGGCAGGTTACTTTGTAGATATTGTTGCACTTTTTAATTCACTTTTCACAGTTTTAACAATCTAATATGGTTTCTGGATATCATAACTTTTTTTTTACAGAATCATGCAGATATGGAGTGGAAATTTTCAAGGTCAAAGCTATGGATGGGCTACTTCGACGAAGGCTCGACACTTCCGCCTCCCTTTAACCTCATAATTAGCCCAAAATCTATTGGATATTTCTTCCGGGCAATTAAAAATATATTTTGTTCATGTTGCAAGAAATCCTCTTTTCAAAATATCAGACGAAAACGAAACAAGTCTACAGAAGACAATATAAAGGTAATACTGTTGTTTTTGTATGCAAATATAGCTTATATTGACAACAATATCGAGTAATTCTTAAAAAAGGAAACACTTAGTTTATCATATAATATGAGCCGCGTCACGACAAAACCAACATAATGCGTTTGCGACCAGCATGGATCCAGACCAGCCTGCTCGTCCGCGCAGTCTGATCAGGATCCATGCTGTTCGCTTACAATACCTATAACAAGTAAATAAACTGATAGTTAACAGCATGGATCCTGATCAGACTGCGCGGATTCATGCTGGTCGCAAACCCATTATGTTGGTTTTGTCGTGACGCGGCTCATATGTTCGTTTCAGTTAACGCTGACGTCAATTCTTTACGTTAATGACATAAATTACCCAAAGGCTCCAGTAAGCATGTATATGTTGGCAAAATATCTGAAATTCCTACTTTCATCTGCAGACTTTCAGTACTTTGATTAAGGAATCCTTTTTAACTAACAACGAATATTGCAAACATTCTAATGTAATATGCACATATTTTATTTCACAGATAATGCAATTAGTTAGCTGCATGTAGTATTATGGTACAGTGTGTAAAAATATAACAAATTAAAATCTTTATTTCTGATTCTAGTAAAAATATAATGTTTTTAAAATCTAGCATATTGTCGAATGTCCTTTTGTCAATTGTTTATTATCATTTTTTCGTTTTCTTTCTTCTCAGTTTTTGTACTTTGTAGATAATTAATATCGGTATCGTTATTTTCTAGATTTAATTAGTTTATGGTCTCTTTCTTTCAACCATACTGTATTTTATCTTTTCTGTACATTCGCAGTGATTAGTTTCTTCAGTTCACTTTGGGTTAATTAGAATTTTGTGATCCGATTAGTATTGTAACGTCTGTTAAAGTTCACAATATATGTACAGCAGCCTTTATTCAGAAGAAAAATGAAAATATTTCCAGCAGTTTAAAGATACGACTTCAAAATTTCATATCGATGCGGTAGCTTTATTTGTATTTGGTTACCTTATTCGAGAATTGCGTTATTCAGCAAGTATGAATCTCTGGTTATTGTAAGGAGCAATTTAATAATAAGTAACAAATGATTTTCAAAGTATTTTAGAAAAAATAAGTGCTTTTTACAGTGATACCAAAATCAGCGCAATAGGTCGGAAAATACATTAATATCTTCAAAATTGAATTTCAAAAACAATTCGATTCATAGCCCAATCTGATTGTAAAATCATTGAAATGCTTTTCATTTTGGGGTCTTTCGCACAATGAAAATAATCATTCTGGAAAAAAGGGCGAAGAAATGTTCTGAAAATTTGCACACAAGTTGTTATATACATCAAATGATACACAAATCTCGGAATAATGATCAGTCCTGTCATAAGCCCCACCCCCCGTCCAAAAAAAAAAAAAAAAAAAAAAAAAAAAAAACCTCTCAGTGGAGTCCCTTTTAAAAGTAAGTTTCTGTTTAAATCTGTGCTTCATCAGGATTCGTTGGAGGTGATTTTTTACAGTCATCCGTGCCAAGAAAAAATATTAAGACATCATCAGAGGAAATACTGTATTTAACATGTTGCTTTTTTATGATAAATTATTTCACATTTATTGCTACTTTCTTCAAGAAACAAGCATCTAACATTATTTAAACCTTATTAACCATGTCTTCAGGGTAAAACAACCAAATTTAGATACTTAAAAAATGCTTTTTTATCTGAAGCTACATTTTTTGTCCTAACAATAAAACATTCTTGTGCTTAAGTATAATATACTGGCTTGGGAGATAAACTCGGCCGAAAATCAGTGTTTTGGGGGCATATTTCATTTATTTGTTTACGTATTCTGATGAATCTTGCACCATAATAAACTTCAGCTCTTCGATTTTCCGGTATCATCATAAAAGTTATATTTGGAAACATAACGGGTAATTTTGAGAGGCCCTGGAAGATGTACGTAAAAAGGATATTTTAAACGCACGCGAGTAGATAATTCCGGCTCTTTGTTTTTCTTCTTAAATGAGTAAGTTAAAACATAAAATAACATGTTTAGACATTTTATTATTTCTTTGCTGTTCATTTATGTCAAATAAAAAATATTTGTTACCAAAATTGTTGAGCATTACGTTAGTATAATGAATATCTATGATAACACGATATTAATATGCAACATACTATGTAACATATAAATCATTTTTACGTAAAAACTCATGCATTATCATTTATTAACATATAACGAAATATGTAGTTAAAGAATTAGTGATTCAAATTTATTTTTGCTTAGCTTAACAGAGTGAAGAAGAAATTAATTTAGTGGTATTCAACCTACACAATAACATATTAACGGAGCATTTAACACCAGTCTTTCAATCCATTCCACTTAAAGATTGTGTAATCAGCTTTTTTCTGAGTTAGCAAGACAAAAGTGAGTCTGAATTTCATCTACAAAATGTATACATAAACGTCGCCTGCTTTACCGGTAGTAGGTCAATATATAAAAGTACCCCAGTGCGTGCCTCAAAATGAGGATCTGCTGCACATGCGCACAACAATGGGATTCCCGTACTTTTTATAGGCATGTTTTGTAAACAAACAGGTAAAAGTCTGTGTTATTTTTTAAATATCTTACCAAACTTTACAAAATTTCCAGATATTGTCGAATTCCAGGGATAGTATGAGATGGTGAGCTTGATTAGATTAAAAATTCCGATAACTTGATTTAATTACAAAAAGCCGAGTTTATCAACCAGCCGAAGTTATCTCCCCAACCAGTATGTTCTTGTTTGATTTGCAACTTTATGCTACAAACACCACTAGGAATTGCATTTGTTAGTCTTAAATGTATCCAAGACGCTCACAAACAGATCGTAATCATACGGTTTTGACAATGATATCTAAATATCAACTGAAAATTCTTTTGTGAGTCTTAACAACCTAGATGTGTTTATTCGTGGCCTGGCGGTTAAGATGTCTGCCTCGCAATCCAGGGAGGGATCATGGGTTCGAACCCTAATAGGGTCATCGCTATGTTACTTCATATGACACCAGTATTAGTTGGTTCCAGGGAACGAAAAATGATTAATATAAGTTTCAAGAACTTGTATCGAAATCGAACCTAAAATAAATATGTTTAAACCAACATACATTTTTGTATTTAATAACAGAAATGAATCATAGATTCGTGGACGAAGAAGTAAAATTGTCAGAACTTATTTATCATAAATTTAGTGTCATAATCGTATGTACCACGATTTTCATTTTACTCATTTCTATTTGTTTGATATTTTATATTGAATGTGTTTATATTTTGTTTTTTTAGGGATTTAAACATTCCGAAAATTCAGTTTTCACGGTGAGAGTTTATTTTTTGTAGCTTTTTCGTTGTCTTTTTTCTATCTGTTTCTCCGAGCTTTTAAAAAAATTACATTTTGTATATTTAGATTTACAGTTATAATACAATCTTGTTTCAATTTGAATATAACCATTGCAGATTCCTTTGGTATCTCATTAATGAGATACTGGAATGTTTGTATATCGGTGAGATATAATGTGTGGCATCCACAATATATAATACAAATGCCTTCGCGTTGTCCTAAACACTTGTGACGTCAAGCTTTATCTGTCTTTCTCCTAACAGCGACTCCCTTCTGACTGTCAAGTAATACTATTGTTTAACCATCAAATATAGTGTAAATTCCCATTTGATATCTAGTGACAATGTAGGTTTTGTTTACCCCCAAGACATGCGTCTAATTCTGATGGTGTTATGGGGATTGTATGGGTCTTTCCAACTTTCTAACTTTCCTCAGTTTCTATCTATAAAAATTCAATTGACGCCTTACAGTTCTAGCAGATATGTGGACATGTAATGTTTCATTTACTTACAATTCATTTTAGTTATCTTTAGAGCTCATTTGTTACCGATCACCTCTTTTCAGCTTTTTGGGAATTTATGTATTTCCCGGACCTAAATCGTTTTGAGGAATTTGCAAACATCAGATGGACTCACTGTCAACAATTCTGAAGATTTCCTTTGGCTAACAATATATCATTCGCTAAAGAAATTAAAAAATCTTTTTGATCAGGTATCATTTCTTGCCTTTCAATTGCCTACTTTGAATCAGACGCACTATTTATGAACATAAAGGAAATAATCTACAGTAAAGAAAACAAAAATGACACTTGCTTTGCATCAAAGAGATGCATTAATAAAATAATTTATTTACCAGTACACCTCCATTTTGATGACTCACTTATGGCCACGTACTGTAATGTTAAATTAAGCCCGATTTATAACCTTTTTTAGACTTGTTAAGTGTTCAGTCTATATGCAATCTCAACTCATTTGAGATTACATAAAAACAAATGTTTGTACTGCTATCAAGAACTAGTTTCCCGATTCTTTTTCAAACTTTGCATGCTTTTCTTTTCTTCTTATATTTTGCATGTTCTATTTTATTCAGAAAACACATTCTAAGTTGTAGTTATCATTTGATGACTTTATCTCATAAATATCTCATAACATGTGAGACGAATTCACAACAATTTTTCAGAAATGCAGTTAAGCTTTTTCTCTTAATGAAAGTTCTATCATATCGCACACCCGATAGTACCACGTGACGATAGGCAAACCATGTGACCAAAACATGGCGACCGGATGTTTGATGACGGACATTAAAATTGCTGCAAATAAGAAAAAAGACGCAATATCCGAAATCATAGAACAGTTTTCCTTCTAAACAATTATTAAGCCTATTCTTTTTTCAAATGTCTATTTCTAGCCTTGTTGCAAAATTACTGGTGCAGCATTTAAATAACTCAATATTTTTACAATTTATTTCATTTTTGCACAATTCAAATGATATATGAAGGTGAATAAAAGAAATTATAAATTATGGCTAAACTAAATAAAACCTAATTTGATACGTTTTACTACATTCTAAAATAAAAAGTGAACAGAATCATTCATCAATAAACTTTTCTGGCAGTGACGTAGCAAACTCCCGTCAGTGATTACCTC